CGGGGAATGGCCGAAATCGGGAAAAAACCTAACATTTTGAAGATTTTTGATTAAATATTTTCATGAATTGTTTTCGTTGCGTTATGGCAAATGTAGCAATGAAGTAAATCGAAATTACAGTAATAGGATTAGGCGACCGAAGCTATGTTGTTTGTGTAAATGACGTAGTTCCTTTTGGGAGAGGCCAAGGCTCCCACGCAATTGTATATATATATATTATATTGTAAACTTTATTGGACAGTAAAACAAGACATACCAAACGGCCCGAGTGCAAACGGGACTCGAAGTCCCATGCGAGGCACTCTACCTTTTTACAAATTGATTAAATTACAAAAAAATTATTGTTACGATGACTACAACTAAAATAAACACATGCCAATTGTTTGAAGCTCAAAACATATTAAAATGTGGTTGGTTTAAATAAAGTGATTAAAATACCATAAAACAGCCAATACTGCGTTATACCTAGAATATCAGAAAACAATTACAGAAATACTCAAGCAACAAGCATATGTTTACTTTAGAAACTATTAGATAAGTTATATTAAGACCTATGACACGAACAACTACGACATAAAGACCAGGTACATGGCATATCTACATTATAACTATTTTCTAATAACTGTACGTATGTTCTTGACAAAAAAGATTTAAACATAGTTAGACTGCGAAGGTCTGCAGGACAAGCTACTTTACACACACAATTCCAGAGAGGGACAATACGGTTAAAGAAGGACGACTGGAAAGCACTTGTTTTACACGACGGAACTTTAAGAACGAGAGAAGGGTTTTCACAGTTACGAGTACGAATATGACTAACAAACGACACAAAATTAGAAATATTTAAATCGTAAAATCCATTTACGATTTAAATATTAAAAAATGTATCATATAAGATTGTGTTTTATTTAATAAATGGCTCGCCACTCTGGCTTTGACTCCGCGCACTTGTTTTGCATTGACATTGTGCTCGGCACGTTACAAATATTAAACCATAGCTATAGTAGACCCTACTAGACCGCAATATGTAGATGTTTATACGATCTTATCATTCTCATGTTGATTTATTGTTTGGCTTGAATAAACCAATATTTGTCAGTGTTAACTATACAAGTAATCAGCCGATCCGCACATTATAAGCCAATAAAAGTAATGGTATAACGCAAGACAATGGCATTAGCATATTGGTCATATTGGAATTGAACTTTACGCATATTTATACTCCTAACCCACAGCCCCAGCTCTATACACTGCAAATAAATTATTGGATACAATCATACAAATATTTTATTGATACGTTCTTGATATACAACGTGAGGATCGGGTAACAGTATTAATTCCAATGTCACTGTGCGGCGTATAGCTATAGGAAGCGCGGCGTTTAAAAACCTGGCGAAAATCTGTCATTAAATGTAATTTGTGTCACACAACATTCTTTTAACCTTCAGGTAAATTCTTGCTGTCCAGTTCTATGCTAAAAATTTAATTTCATTTGTAATGATGACATTTCAATCCAGTATTTTTTCGAAATTTGATCTTACATTCTTACTAAGCTTTACAGTGTGCTTAGATAGGAAGCGCACATTGAAAACTATGCCCAAAGTGCCACATACTCAAATGACAAAAGGTGAGATAAAATAGTGTAATACGTCAGCAAACAGCTTTTGGTTGCCGACATTCAAAATGTCTGGAGTACAGGGAAGCTTTAAATTTCCTTCACTAATAAAAAGGCGAAAAATAGATCACTGTTTACCCACATTTAGTTGGGAATCACTAAAACATGTTGAAGAAATTGGCAGTGGTGCTTTCGGGGTATCTTAACCTCTCTATTGTTACGTGATACGGTTTTGATCAAACGTCGAACAGAGAAATTGAACTTTGACAAAAACTATATAACAAGGTCTATTGTCTTGCGTTGTACTTACAATGTGTGGTCCGGCTGATTACTTGCCATGACGCAACGAAACGAAACGACATTTACACAAACAACATAGCTTCGGTCACCTAATCCTATTACTGTAATTTCGATTTACTTCAATGCTACATTTGCCATAACGCAACGAAAACAATTCATGAAAATATTTAATCAAAAATCTTCAAAATGTTAGGTTTTTTCCCGATTTCGGTCATTTCCCGGCCATTCCCCGGACATTCCCCGGCTATTCCCCGCTCATTCCCCGCTCATTCCCCACTCATTCCCCGCTCATTCCCCGGCCATTCCCCGCTCATTCCCCGCTCATTCCCCGCTCATTCCCTTCCCCGTTCCCTTCCCCGTTCCCTTCCCCCATTCCCCGTTCCCCGTTTTAAAGATAGCCGATTTCAACCCCCATTTCAAAGATTAGGTGACCTCGCTGCGGCAGCAATAAAAATATTTTACATTAGTTTACAAAAGTTCGTCTCAAAGTTAAGATGTCTGCTATAATAAACGGAATAATAAATTCAACCGTCGGTTTACTGTGCAGTAAACTACGAGATTACACTGCAGAGAGACTCAACGAAGGCGATTTAAACGATGAAAAATTCAGACATGTCGTTGTTCGGGAACTTGATGATATTAAATCGAAGCTCGATGGTTTGTCGAGAAAGGACCTGCTTGCCAGTCTCAGTTTTTTCAAAGAAGGAGTTACCAGGTTCTATATTTCTCTCGAGACGTCTGGTGAATTTCGTGATCAGCCCAGCACTTCAAAAGCACACTTAGAAGACGAATCTGAAGTCGAAGGTGCAACAGCGACGAGAGTTGAGCAGTTTCCTGTCACGCAAGCTGAACGCGATGTTTTAGAAAGCGTATTTGAACTTTCTGAAATCATTGGAGACTTAAAAATCGCATCGCAAGAACGCTACAAATCGGCTAAAAAGTCTTTAGAAAAAGCAAGGGAGCTGGCAACGGAAGCATTTAATAACGTAGCGCTGAATGCTGAAGATAGATTGATGGCGAGCAAACTTCGCATTGCCAGCAGAATCCTCGAAGGCTTAGAGGACCCAGAAGCAGCCGTCCACGACTGCTTACTCTACCTGAAAGAGCTACAGGATTTACCTGCAGTGCAAGCGATGTTTTCTGTATGGCGAGATTCTGATAAAGGAATTGCATCCCGCTTACGAGCTCGCTTCTACAAAGAGCAAAGGAATGTTAATGTAGAGTCGATACAAATGATCAACGCATTATTGATAGATCTCACCATTAAATTTACAAACATCAAGATGGGTGTTTGTAACTGGCCAACGATAAAGATTGGTAAAGATCTCCATCATCCACTGTTGGAAGACCATGCGCTTCAAAGAAAATTTGAAGATTACAAAACGCAGCTTCCTTGGTACGGGCGGAAGTTTGATGAATGTATTAACGACTACAATATTTGTGCGCTAACAAGCAAAGGAGATATTTTATCAGAAGGACGGAAAGACGGGAGTCTTAAACTCACAAGAAGAAGCGGCGAGCACGAGTTGATTTTTACCACACCCTCGGAAATACACTGTTTTGCAGTCGATAAAAACGATAACGTATATATCGTCGTGAAAAACTCGCCATGCAATGAAAATGATCGTTCTCCATATAAATTATTAACCTTGGATTCTGATGGTAACGCCAAGGGGGACAGATTACTTGACATGATTGATAGATATATGTCGATTACAAGAATGAGTGTGACCAAAGATGGTATGATTGTTATGTTGTGTTTCGACACAAAAACTTTCTGTATCTGCGACAGCACAAACACCAGGCAAGAATACATATTTGATTTTCGACATATTTTTCAACATAGTGAGATGAATTCTAGCTTCACTGTTTCCAATAAAAATGAAATCATTTTTGCTGGTCGTGACCCTATTGACAAACTCTTTTTGTACTTCATTACAATCGATGGTAAGCTAAAACGTAAAGTGCAATTACCTGTCGAAAGTTTTTGGGAACATTATGGGCCATTTAGATTGCATGGATTGCAGAGTGTAGTCTTTAATCATGTCAATGAAACAATTCTGGCTAGTTTATACAATCGTTATGTTGCCAATGTTCCTACTGCGATCTTCTGTTTCTCAAACACAGGTGAATTCCTGCAAAGGTTTAATATCCTGGGTGATTATCGACAGCTCCTATCACATCACGCAAACAGACATATACTTTTGGTGAACAAGGAACAAGCCATTGTGCTTCAAATGTAGTAATATGTTACTTTCCAGATTTTTTTGCCTAGAAGCAGCGCACACAGGAACGGAGATGGATGGGGGTGTGTGGGTGCGGGGGGGGGG